TAAAAATTCAGAATTGATTATTCGAATTTGGAATTTTTTTGCCAGGGCCCAGATCGGGGCCGGATCAGGCTGCCCTTTTAGGGAATAGCAGCGCCTAATGTGGCCCTGATTAGGAAATCCACATTTGGCCCTGATCAGGTGGAGCGTTTCATTCCCTATTAGGGCCCTGATAGGGCAATTTCTACACGGGATTCTATTCTATTACGGCGCGTTTGTATCCTGGCTCTGACCTAGCTGAAACAGGGGACCGGGGCCAAACCAGGCCCTAGTCGGGCCCCGATTTTAATCGAACTGAAATGTCTTTTTCTGTGGCCCCGATCGGGTTCCCATTAATAAATTTTTGATACTGTAAATTTTTTTCCTGTTTTCCTGAAAAAAATTAATTAAATTTTAATAATTTATTTTAATAATTAATTTTTTGAAAAATAATTTATTCTATTTTAAAATATAATATAAGGCAATGAAAATAATTTTGTAATTCAATCTGACAAGGATTGTTCTATTTTTTATTTTTTTTTTGGCTGAGCTAATTGACGGGTTTAATTACTTCGTGATATATCAAGGGATTTGTAAGCCGAGCTTATTTGATTATACGTGAAAACGGAAATCTAATTCCCAAAATGGCGAGCCTTAATTTCCATCTTTCATCCGCTCTCTCTCTCTCTCTCTCTCTATGGTTTAATATTATAATGAAGATTGATCGGGTCTATATAATATAATAATCCTTTTGTTGAAGTTAGTCTTGAATAAATCTTGAAATAACCAAACTATAACACACGTCAAAAAGACATATAATGAAAAAGGATATCTAATTTTAAAAAATCGAATGAAACGGGAAATAATTTAGTTTAGCATTCATATAACATTTTTTTTTTTTCTTTTAATAATAGTGAGTTTTTTTGGTCGATGAGAAATCGAATATCGGCCGTTGTTGGGATTTATTTTATTTTTTTTTTGTATATCTAAATACACCTATGACTGGATCCCTGAGGGATTTTTGAAACACACTACTACCGGATGTAAAACGTTGTGTGAGCTTAACCGGGGCGCGTGCTTTCGAAAAAGCCCTGATCCATCTAGCTTTAATCCAGCGATGAGAAAAGAGAGAGAGAGAGGACAAATTTTTAGAATATATATACAGAGAGAGAGAGAGAGAATAGAAAATGGAGCTGTGTTATAACTTGAATCGCGAGTTATCGTGTGGAAAGTTGCGATCGAGAACCCTGTTCAAATTCGTCCCCTTTTTTTCATGAATGTATATAGTATAAATTCTAGATCGCATATGGTGTTCATGGAACCAGGGAGTTGATACACTGCATCCGAAAAGACATTATACAGGTCCTCCCTGCGGGATCATCCACGAGATAATCGTTTTTTCAAATATATATATAACTACCCCACGACTGTCATCGATCCCACGCTTCTTGCACATCCTTTGTTTTCTACGTTTAAAATTTAATCAAATTTTTTTTTACATTTTTCCTTTTTTTTGAAATTTTAAAACTAGAAATTTTCAAATTACAAAAACTACTAGGGTAAGTGCATCAATTACGGCGCGTTCATAAAAAAATAACTATTATTATATTTCCTGTGCCGAAATTTTTGAAAGGGTCCTGGCAGGGCCCACGTCAGGAAGCTCCAAATTCGTATAAAACAGTCCGTGCAGAAATTTTGCCAAGGCCCTGATCGGGGCCCGATTAGGAAATGAAACGCCGCGTCTGATCAGGGCGACCATAAAAATAGGGATTTCCTAATTAGGGACAAATCAGGCGCGGCAATTCCCTAATAGGGCAGCCTAATCCGACCCCGATCTGAGCCCTGGCAAAAAATTCTACACGTGAATAAACGCGGTAAGGATTTATTTTTGGTATATTTTATTATTTTTTATTATCTAAATAGAAAATAAAAATAATATTTCTATTTTAGTAATACTGATAATTTATTTTCTCTCTCTGAGTGTTAAATGCTAATTAGATGAGATATTAAGTTAAAGGGTCAAACGTCAAGAGCCATATTTGCATCAACTTACTGACAGTTAGTAATGGTCCAGCTTGGAAGGAGATTACAAGCTATTAGTCTAACAAGCGCCGAAATCAATATCGAAGTTGAACCGCGCGTCCCATATATATATTTCCCTCTCTCTTTCTCTCTCACTCTCATTTCTCGCGCGACATTTATTTTCGCCTGTGGTTCGTATGTATACCTAACGGTTTGAAAATGCTCGATTGCAAAGTTGTGAGCGCGAAAAGGGTGAATCTGCGATTCGTGGTTTGTTCGCGACCAACGCACGAGACCGTTTATAATCACGGCTCAAATAGTTGAAATGCAATAAAATCAAAGCGAAACGCTCCCATATATTCGAAACTTTCAATACGCGGTTAGAATAATAAATATTTTATTTTCATTACTTTTAAAATCGATATATAATTTTGATCACTCTCTCTCTCTCTTTTTATTCACTAAAAAAATTAAAATAGTTCATAATTTAAAAAATATGAATTAAAAATAATTTTTGTCAGATTCGAATGTGAATTAATTCGATAATTAATTAACTGTATATACGACTATCGACAGTGATTAAGTCGCGGGTAGAGATTTAATCTGTATTCAGACGACAGGACACACCTAACAATTGCAAATTAATTAATTACTGATTTGTTGACAGCCACTGGAAATTGCCATATACAGTGAAGACATTGACATTCAACATGGGTCAAATAATTAGTTAATTAATCAATTGTGTTTGGAGAAATTTTCAAATCAATGTTCAATGACCTTCGATTTTCAATAATAGCATTAAAACATATAAAAGTGAAAAAAAATGTTTTTTTAAAAAACAGAAAGAGAGGGCGATAAAATTTTTTTTTTTTGAACGCTCGCAATTAAGGGAAGAAGTGGGGAGAGGGGGGCTTTATTCTCACGATCTGGCGCACTCGCGCTATATAACGACCCCCCAGTGAGGCTGTAATTCACCCTAGAAATGGCGCGACCCAAGAACCCCCGACACCGCGTTAACGTCACGTGACGCCAAAATTTCTTGATTAAGGCCCTCTCAAACGAGATTTTCCCGTTCGATTGGAAGAACTTTGGCTCGTAAGTCGTTAAAATATGGTACACTCTACTATATAACGACAATAATGAAATCCCACTGTTGCCCACCATTTTTAAATTCATTATACAAAATAAGCTTATATTTAATTTTTTTTAAAATCCATATTAAGGACAGGTCCTTGTAAGGTGGCGCCATCTAAATCGGAACTAAAATTTAGGAAAATCAACAATACTGACTCGAAAAACAAGAAAATAAAAATTTGTCACTTTTTTTTGAGTTAAGAATTAGTTTCGCTGTAGATGGCGCTGCCTTACAATAACCTGCTCTTAATGTAAAAATAATATAATTATTTATATCCTGATTGAATATACATCGATGTTTTTGGCGAAATAAAACTTTTATAAAAAATAAAAAAAAATCCCATTAAAAAATAATGTTGAAAAAGCAATAACGCTCTTTAAAATGTAAATATGAAGTGCAAAATGATCGATTGTACTGCAAACAGTATAACCAACCACCGAAATTTATTCCAAGCGTATAAATAAGCATTTTATCATTCTCGAGGAGGATTTGAATCGCGTCGAATCTCGAGAATGATGAAGAAGAATTGTGAGTATTCGAAAACTCGATTTACAGCTTTCTCCCTTCTATCAAAATTATCTTATTCTCATTTTGCAAATATTCTCCTTTTGTCTTGAGACAATTCGACATGACTACCTCTCCCCATCAAAATTACGTTGCCCCTTTTTGAAAATTATAAGAATCAAAAGGGATTCGAATTCCCTTTTAAGTTATAATGTCACTGTAATTAGATTTAATGTAGAAATAAAAATTATACGTAATTTAAAAATAGAAAAAAAATTTCTTCTTTTTTTAAATATTAATTCATTTTTAGTTTGTATTATTTATTTCAAACTCGAAATTTATTTTATTTTCACCACAAAAAAATTGTGTGTAAATTTTACATTTTTCAAACCCTTTCGACGTTTAGCAAAAGAATCTTGTTTTTCTAAATTAAAAATTTAAAGAAACAGTAAAACAAAATGGTAACAGGTGTTTTCCTCTACACGGATCAGGCTGTTAATTTTTTTCTACACTTTTAGATGTATTTTGTGCAAGAAAATGCAATAAAATAGTGTGCCTAAGAAAAATTGAATTTTTTTGAAAATTTTTTTTTTACGAAAATCGCTTTAATGGTCATAAAATTGGTGTTCCTCTACTCGGATCGGGCTGTCAATTTTTTTCTACACTTTTAGGTGTATTTTGTGCAAGAAATTGCAAAAAAATATTCTGCCTAAGAAAAATTGAATTTTTTTGGAAATTTTTTTTTGGACCTGGACGACATTTTGGTGCTAATAAGGGTCTTCCTCTACTCGGATTTGGCTGTCAATTTTTGTCTACACTTTTAGGTGTATTTTGTGCAAGAAATTGAAATAAAATATTCTGCCTAAGAAAAATTGATTTTTTTGGGGAATTTTTTTATGATAGGGGTTCCCTAATTAGTGGTTCGATCCGTTTGGGGTCAAAATTGGTATTTTGGCTGTTTAAATCTATCAAAATAGCGAAAAAACGATAAAAATTTCCATCTTTTGTTTTTTGAATTTTATCATTATTTTGAATTATAATATTACATTATCATAATTATTTAAAAAAATTTATATTAGAAAGTTGACAAATTGGATGTTGGTAGCGTGCATTTTGTCGGTGGTGTGTTGCTAATAATAATAATAATTTTCGAGAATGATAAAGTCAAGAGAGTGAGAGAGAGATCGAACCCCTTTAAATTACTCCATTACGACCCCATAATTCTTGAATAAAGGTCTCTCTCTCTTCTCAGAGCCATATACAGGGGAGATTTTCTACAAAGACATAGTATAGTTTATCTTGCATATCTATATATTTCTATCTGTAATCTACAAATGTTGGGTCGTCTTCCTCTATGTTTCAGAATGCACGTTTCCGTCGCGTTGGGAGGGCACTTGGTTCCAGAGCGGTGTACGCCAAGCGATCGTGATATCAAGGGACGTTCTCTCCAGCAAAGGAAAGTGTCTTCACAATGAGGGTGACAAGTTTCTTCTCGTCGACGAGTAAGTATATTTTTACTTTGCACTCATTTTTTTTTTCTTTCTTTTTATTATCTTGTCCTCTGTTAATAAGAGTTTTTCAAATTTATGAGTATAAAAGAGAGCGCGTGCTTCTTCGTCGTTCAGGTCTTTTGTTTTGTTACACAAATTTAATTAACGTTGCATGCGAAGGGGTGCAAAAAAAAAAATTAGGGTTTTCTACATTTTTACGATCTGGACAGAAAGTAATTTTTTTTAAAACCTTCTTCCGGTGTGTACGGGAATAATTTTATCATTTTGTTGAAACATAACGTGAAGGGATGAATAACTTGTGAATTAAGATGTATGTTTGTGTCTAAATGTATCTTGAATTATTTGAAAGTATATCTTTTCGTATTTATCAGTTTGATAAGAAATTTTTTCAATAATTTCAAAAAAAATAAAAATTCTTTCATTTCTTTTTTGAAAGTTATATTATAAAGTGGAAATGTAATTAATTCTCTTCGAGATATATTTGTTCGTTACTAATCAGTTAATTATCTCTTCACAAGACAAATAGAAAAATTGAACTGGGAAATACAAACGCTTTTTCAGGATGTCTGACTAAAACTGTTTATTTCCACCGCAAAAAAATAGAAGTAGTATAGAGGAGTTTTATATAGACACGACCCGTAGATAAAATACTTACTGCGCTTTAAGTTCGTTATCGTCTTGAAAGAGAGAAAGAGAAAGAGAGAGAAAAAAAAACATAACAACTTTTATCAAATTTTCAAACTCACATGTTGCCAATTAATCCGTTATAAAATTTAATCTAATTAAACAGAAAGAAGAAGAAGAAAGACCACAATTCTATAATATTATTATATCGAGTTGTAAAAAGTTTTTCAGTTCAAAATTCACAATTTCAATAAAAAAAAAAAAAAATTTATTAAAACTTTGAAAAATAAATTCTGATTTTTAATTTTTTTAGCTCAAAGCTTTTAAATCATGAATCTTTCGATTGAATTTAATTGCATATATATATATATATATATTCTATAGAATTTATTTCCAATATTTGTAATTGAAAAATACAGTTTAACAATTTTGAAATTCATAAATTGGCTTTTTACCTTTTTTATATTTTTATAAAATTTTTATATAAAAAAATAAATAATCCGAAAAAATAATTAATGGTTTTTTTTTAGTAATTTTATTATTTTCATAAAATTAAAAAAAAAATAAGCCGAAAAAATAATTAGTGGTTTTTTTTGTAACTTTTATTTTCATCGATTTCTCTTTTTTTCTTTCTTATATTCTCGCACAGTTGTATATGATGTCTCCATCCATAGAAAGCTCAACTTTGTCTTGAGGCTAAAAGAAGGATTAAAAGAGGATTAAAAGTAGAGGGCTTGTTCTTATTTTCAACAACCTAGACGGCATACAAAGAAACAGTTGAGAATATCAAGATTTTGTACTCTCGATACTTTCATGCAAATTTTTTTCCCCTCCCGTTTCCGTAACTTTCATTTAAAATTCTATTTACAACTTTTACAAGTTTCCTGACATTGTATACTTTTTCGCGGCGAGTTTCTGTTTTCTTTTCTTAGCAGACAAATTGGCCCGCGAAACTTGTTAATTATTTCTTTAATTCTGTAATTTTCACGTTTTTTTTTGTATTTCCTTAAAATGAATATGGAAAAATATATCAATTGAAAAAGGAAATAATTATATTTCAAATATTTTATTCTCTTAGAAAAAATTTTACTCAGAGGAAAAAAAAATTTATTTTTGTCTTAGAGGTAAAAAAAAAATTTGTTTCTTAATTTAATTAATAGATTTTTAATTAGAAATAAATACTCTATTTTTAATACATTAAAAAAATATTTTGAAAAAGAAATTTTTATCAGAAAAATATTTTTTTAATAAAAAAAAATTTGTTTTATCTAACCTTAGGTGAATCTATGGTTATATATATTCAAATTGAAGAATGTTATACCGTAAATTCTTTTGAAATACGTCCAAGATTTTTCTTATTTAATCCTAGCTTTTTCACTTGAAGAAGCTTTTCAAGTTAGCTGGCTGTGAAATTTTAATTACATTCACGCTGAGGAAGGCTTGAAGGATTTTGAATCTTTCTTTTTTTTTTTTTTTTTTGTTTTTTTCTGTTTTTCTAAAAGTTAAAACTTTCACACTCGCGTGTATTTATTAAGACTCCGTTAGTCAATTTCATCTATTTTTTTAATTCTGAATTGCATTCATAAAGATTCGCGCATTGTTATCTCTTCTGTATAGTATAGTGTTGTTTTTCATACTTTCTGCATACATAAAAAAAAAAACTTGAACTCATTTTTATTGCATATTAAAACTTTTTAATTCTTGTTATTTAAGTATCAGTTGTAAAAAATATAGTTAGAAATTTTTTTTAATTAAGTAATTTAGGTATCAGCAGTAATAACCATTTTTAGTCAGACAGAACTTTTTTTATTGTATTATTTTTTTATTGTATTTTTGTTTATATTTATTTATTTTTTTATTTTTTAGGAGTAATAACCATTTTTAGTCAGGCAGAACTTTTTTTTTATTATATTTTTGTTTATTTTTTTTATTTATTTATTTATTTATTTATTTATTTATTTTTTTTATTTTGTTTTTGTTTTTATTTTTAGTCGAAAATCAGTAACAAAGTATTTAAGTAGTGACAGGCAGTTACAGTCAGACAAAAGGAATTTTTGTTATTTAATTCAGTAGTAATAACGATTTTTAGTCAGACAGAACTTTTTTATTGTATTCTTGTTTATTTTATTTATTTATTTATTTATTTTTATTTTTTTAAAGGTTTTATTTTTATTCGAAAAACGGTAACAAAATATTTAAGTAGTGAAAGACAGTTTTTGTCAGACAAAAAGATTTTTTGTTATTTAATTCAGTAGTAGTTTATTTTTTTATTGTATTTTAATTTTTTTTATTTATTTTTTTTTTATTTTTTTTTATTTTTTTAAAGGATTTATTTTTATTCAAAAATCAGTAGAAAAATACACAAGAGTAGTGAATGGCAGTTTTAGTCAGCCAAAAAGAATTTTTGTTATTTAATTCAGTAGTAATAAATATTTTTATTTTTTAGGCAGACAGAAGTTTTTTTTATATTTTTGTTTATTTTTTTATTCTATTTTTTTTTTATTTATTTTTTATTTTTTTTTTATTTTTTTAAAGGTTTTATTTTTATTTGAAAATCGGTAACAAAATATTTAAGTAATGAAAGACAGTTTTTGTCAGCCAAAAAGAATTTTTGTTATTTAATTCAGTAGTAATAACTATTTTTAGTCAGACAACTATTTTATTTTTTTAATTTTTTTAATTTTATTTTTATTTATATACATATTTTTTTTATCTTTTAGGAGTAGTAATAACCATTTTTAGTCAGACAGAACTTTTTTTATTGTATTTTTTTAAAATTTAAAAAATTTTTTTTTATTTTTTTGTAATTTTCTAATTGTTTTTATTTTTATGCAAAAATCAGTAGAAAAATACACAAGAGTAGTGAATGGCAGTTTTAGTCAGACAAAAAAGGGTTTCTCTTGTTATTTAATTATATCAGTAGTAAAAAACAGTTTTAGTCAGACTGTATATGTTTCTAATTAAACAAATAATCTAATAACATTTTTTTTCCCTTCGTTGGATAAATTGCGTACTTAAAATTCTTCACTTCGTTCAGCGTATATATTTTCACGACAACGAGAACATGTTTTTAAATCAAATCTGACGCGAGGAATTTTTTTTTTATTTTTCTTTTTTTTCGGTGGGGGGGTTCTAATTTATTCTATCCATAGCATTGGGATCCAGGCTGCATGTCCTGAAGCTCATTTGCCTCCTAAATTGTCTCTCGCATCCACGGTTATACTGGCTCATTTTTACATGGCGACGACGACGACGACGTCGGAGGCCCTCGAGCAACTCGTCGTTGACTGATTAAAACCAGAAATCAACTATTCGTTTCTCTGCATGTGCGAGTCCTTTAACCATTTTTTTTTACCCTGGGTTTTCTCGCCTCATGTCGAGGTACCTTTTTTTCTTTTTTTTTTTTTGCTGTCCTTCATTCTCATTTTCAACTATGAGCCGTCTCTCTCTCTCTCTCTCTCTCATTCGCTCGAAGTTTTCCTTATATTTCGCAAAAGGTAGTGTGTTAAAAGAAAAAGAAATCATTTCAAACTGCGTCGACCATATATATAGAAACGTTTCCTGGCAAGCAATGTTAGGGAAATACATTTCCTCCCGCGCAATGTGTACGTGCTCTCTTTCCCTCTCTCTGCTCAAAGTAATTAGTACTCCACTCTCGTCGACGTACATAGTAAAATATTGAATGGGTTCATGCACCGCCGCAACTAGAACTAAACACAAAAATAGCGTAGAGCACTTTATTGCTTCTGGATAAGTCTCGGTATTTGCATATACGACTTAATTTATGATATAATCAAGTTTTTCGAAAAGAAAAAATGTTAAAACTAAATGAAAAAAAAAATTATTTCATTTAAATAAATTGGTTACTTATCAAAATAAATATTTACTAGGACCAATAGAATTTTTATTTGAATTAAATAATCTGTATTTGGGACAATAATTTTTGTATTTGAAACAAATACCATTTAACACTAATAATAATTATTTAACACAAATAAATATTTATTTGACAGTAGTCAAGTATAATATTATTTAAATCAAATATATTTTTTTCAATTTTGACAATTTTTAGTCAGAAAAAACAGAATTGTAATTTTATTATTAATATGGAATATGGAAAAAATAAATTATAATCAGGGAGAATATTTTCTTAACATGTAATTTTGGAATTAGTAGTAAAAGAAATTTTTCGTTAGACAAAAAAAATTATTTTTGTGATTAGTAGTAAAAGACAGTTAAAGGCATAAAAAAAAATTCTAAAGCGTAGTTTTAGTTATTTTATGTAATTTTTAGTTAAATTTATCTTGCAATTAAATATTGTTTGTTGTAAATGACAGTTCCAGTCAGACGGAGTACTTTATTCCATGTGTAATTTTACCCTAAGTAGTAAAATATATTTTTAGTCTGGCAAAAGGTAGTAAAATTATTTTAATTTCATTTCAAGTAGTAAAATTCAGTTTCAGTCAGACAGAATATTTTATTCACATATAATTTTAGCCTCAGTATTAAAAAATATTTATAGGCTGCAAAATTATTTTAATTTCATTTCTAGTAGTAAAATACAGTTCCAGTCAGACAGAATATTTTATTCTTGTATAATATTAGCCTCAGTAGTAAAAAATATTTTTAGTCAGACAGAAGGCAGTAAAATTATTTTTCATTTCTACTAGTATTTGTAAAAAAAACCATTCAGAATTAGAGAATACATTTTTAAAAATATATAAAAATGTGAATAATAAATAGGTGTAATTAAAAAAAATAATTGAATATTCTAAAAAAAAGAGCGTAGAATGTTAAAGTAACCATAAAATCTCATAATTATTATTTACACTGTAAAAGTAGGTCTTCAAAATATAAATTATCAATAAATGCGAACGAACAGAGTTTTACTTTTAAATTCATAACGATCCCCGCGTACTATATAGAATTATGCTTAAAAGTTTTGTGTTTATAAAATGTTTATTATTTCAACCTTATTCTCATGTAAATTTAATATCTGACAAAGTTTAAATTTAAATAATTGATTAACACCAATACACAAGAGTTATATATATATAGGAACTAACAACGGGATTTTTTTTTATTTTATAATTATTTAATAATTTAATTCGTATGTAAAATTTTAATTACTTTTTCAACAAAAATTTACATTTACAAAATTTCTCAATGTAAAATATATTTTTTTTTTAAATTCAAAATTAAATCTTTTTAATTTCAATTATTTTTAAATTAAATTGTTTACATTTTTTAATTTTATTTAAAATTAATGAAAAAAGTATATTATTTGAAATAACTAATTACAGGATCTCTATTTCCTAAACTTGTATATAATCAATCGAAGTTACTTGAATTTCAAGGGGTCAGCTAACTAATGTTCAAATGAAGTTATTTCCGTTCGACTGGACAAATTTCATTTTACTGCCCGAATGTTGTATATATATATACTCTCGAGTTATGTTCCTCGTTATAGAAACATTTACATCTGACTTGAAACTTTAGTCGTAACTGTAGACGAAGAGAGAGAGAAATAGAAAATAGAGAAAAGTCCCTAGAGTATAACTTGTAATATATAAAAGAGAAAAGTGTGAAAATATTTCTATTCTGACAGTTCGTATGCAGTTCACTTGTCACATTAAACCATCACTCTCTATAATTTATTTCAAAAAAAGAGAAAAAAATCAATATAGAAAATTAAAAAATTATTTTTTTGTCAACATTTTTTATATTATTTAAAAAAATTAATTTGAATAAAAAAAATAGTTTTTTTTTCTTTATCTTTTTATAAGAAAAAAATATTTTTTTATTGAATTAAATATTTATTTATTTTTGCAAATGAATGTGACCCAGTTTTAAAATCTCTTTATCAAATACGAATTCAAAGTTTTTTTTTTCTTTTTTTTTTTTAATAGACGACCTTATTCTAGTATTTGAAGTTAGATGAGAGAAAGAGAGAGAGAGAGTTTGCTAGCGTTTGTGGTTGATAAGCACGAAAACTGAAGAAGCATTCGAGGAAGATGCTTGGTGGTTGTGCTTTACTTGCTATTCATCAAGTGGTGCTCTTGCCACTGTACCACTTTTCCACCTTATTTCTATGCCTACATCTTCTCATAAAACTTGCTATATAGGACTTTTTTTTGATATATGACGATTATAAGAAAAAAGCTCCTTCAGTCACATAATACTCTAGAAAAATAATAAAAAATAGAAACAATAATGAAAAGGCAAACTAAAGAAATAATATTATTAAATAATAGTGTAAATAAATTAAAAATAATTAATTTTAATAAATTAATATCTGATTATTTTTTTAATTTAATAAATAATTGCTTACAATGTTAACACTTGTTGAATAAAAACCTTATTAATAATAATAATAATAATAATAATAATTACAATAATAATAATAAAATCAAAATTGTTAATAAAAATTTTATTTGGGTCAAGTAAAATTTATTTTTGTCATAAATATTTCAGAGAAAAATATTATTTTTTCTCAATCTAGAGCGTTATCGTTTATTTTATTTGATGTAATTATTACAAAAATTTTTTAAATATTATTTCCTTTTTAATAATAATAAATAAATTTTTTCTAAAAAAAGAATTTTGTATTTTTGTTACAGAAAAGCTTGCTATCGTTGTGTCGTCATTCATGAGAAGCATTCAAACGTTCTACAGTACAAAGAAAGTAAGTTTCTTCTTTTTTGACATACATAATAAATAATTATATAAGTACTACATAGAATAATTTGCAATTTAGTCAATTTAATAAAAAATTGAAAATTTAAGTCTTAAACTAAAAAAAATATATTTGTTTTAAATAATCGATTATTTAATTAAAATAAATTTATTTTAAAAAAATATTAATACTTAAATATTAATATAATGAATTTAATAAAATAAATATTTATTTGAACCAAATAATTTTGAGAATAAATTAAATTTGTTTTAAATACATAAATAATTCTTTCAAATACAGTTTATTTAATTCAAATACCGTTTAATTTATTCTAAAAATTATTTGATTCAAGTAAATATTTATTTAATTAATACAATCGATTATTCGAATCAAATAAATTTTTTTTCCACACTGAAGAAAAATTTTTTTTGATTCAAATACTTGATTTCTTGACTATTATCAAATAAATATTTACTTGAACCAAATAATTTTTATTTGAATTAATAATTTCTGTATTTAAAACAAATACAATTTAATTGACTCAAATAAAAATTATTTGATACAAATAAATATTTATTTGATAATAGTCAAGTAACCGATTATTTGAATTAAATAAATTTTTTTTTCATTGCACTGTCAGAATTTAGGATTATTTTTGTCTTTTCTTTCAATTTTTTTTGACAATGTAAAATTAAAATAAAAAAATATTTTAAGAGTCTTAAAAAAAGAATATTTTTAATTTTTCCATATTGATAATTTTTTTTGCATTGAATGATTTTTTTTCACTTGATGATTTTAAATATGTATATTTGAAGAAAACCATTAGCCTGATTGAAAAGTTTGAAAGAGCAACTTTTCCTAGGAAATAAATTGTTATCTTTACAGCTATGGCTTAAATGAACGTTCCTCCCTCTCTCTCTTTCACTTTCGCAGCAACTTACTTTGCTTTCAATATTTGACTATTTGAAATAGGAAAACTTTCACAGATTGGATGGTTCGAATATTATAAAAACCTTGTGAAGTAATTATAATTTTCGAGTGTTTCGACATTAAATTAATTTCTATATACCGCGCGTAATTAAGTTTCAACTAAATTAGTAATTAGAAAATTATATTCTTCATATATATATATATATTAAATTTACATGTTTATGGAATATAAAGTTATATAAAGTTTTTCGTTTATTATTTGTGAAAATAATAATTATATATATAAATTTTCACCATTGGCAAATTATTGAAATTAGAAAAAAAAAAATTCTCTAGGAAATTGAGAAAAGTAAATCTCGGAAAAATATGATTCAGGATGAAAAATAGGTTATTCAAGGAGTCATGTTCTTGAAGTATACAAGAAATTTTTTTTTTTGAATTCTTACACATGTGTTCGGGAATATGTACCAAAAAGGGTCACACACTCAACTCAAGAGAGAAAAAGAGAGAGAGAGAGAGAGCAATCTCTGGACTCTAGAACCAAGCGATTCGCATTTTTCGACGATTTGTCAAAGCGCCAGTTTTTATCGGATTTTAATCTGCATAGTGTCATACCACAGACACACTCGTGCAAACGTGGCTCGCATCGGTGAAACGTGATAGGTCATATATGAAAAGGGGGAAAAAAAGGGTGACCACGATCAGGGGGGAGGGTTTGGATTGGAAAACCGAGGAAAAGGCGAAAAAAAAGAAGGGGAGGTTTTGCTGCGAGTCAGAGATTGGGAAAAACACAACATTGCACTTTTTCAACCAATTCAATAGTATTAAAATAACACCATCTTTTTTTTTCCAAGAGTATTCTTCTCGAAACCTGTCTCAATTTTATTCTTTTTTTTTTTTTTTTTTTAATTATTTACTATAATTTATTTTAAATAAAAAATAATTATTGTTTTTAAATTTCTCAAAATATTTACATGAAATTAATTAAAGAAACTATATGTGAAAGAATTCATTTCCGTGTCTCTTTTTTAGAGGATATTTTATTCAACCGAAAAAAAAAATAAAGAGGCGTGTATTTACTGAATAAATAACAATCACGTATAGTCATGGTTTGAAGTAAGGGAATTGAAAAAAAATGCGGATTTGAAAAGGCGAGTTGAAAAAAAAAGCGCTGACGAAAGTTGAAATTCGCTTTTGTTATTTTTTTTTTTTTGCATTTCTCGACTGAAATAATTGTTCAATGAAACAAATGTTTTTACATACCAGATAACAAAAAAAAAAAGGAAAAAAATTTTTTTTTTTGTTAATGAAACGTTGCTTTAAGCGCTTTATTCATTTTATATCTACGTCCATTCATGATTTTTTTTAAATCTAATTCTGACAATTGAGAAAAATTAATTTTAAATAATTTTTAAATTTTGATAATTAATATTAAATTTTTAATAATTTGATTTTTCTTTTTTTTTAGCCTACTGTCAAAATAAACATTCATTGGCTTCGTTGTGCTCGTACATAACTGGAGATGCCTTGTTGTATTCAATGTTTCGTGAAGAAGCTGTGCCAGTTCCATGTCCATTTCATGGACCTTTGACTTTCTCCTACAACAGAGGACACGGCCTTTGTTCCAGTCCGCAAAGCAATGTTGACACCTGTACAGACGATAGTAAATTGCTCTTTAGGTATCAAGCCTGTCCAGACGTACACGGATCTGAAAGTTCCAGTGAGTATATAAACTCGCCAGATAAAATTTAATTATAATACAAACAATTTATTTTCTTTTTTTTTCAAAAAAAAGGATTTTTCAAAAAATTAGTTAATTTCAGAAAAAATAGAGAAAAAAAGCCGACAGTTGAAGAGATGGCGATGGTTGTTGTACTCGAGAGCGTTGGGGACTTCCTTTATATATCGATCGGCAAAGAGACATTTGTCGATGTCCCAGTCTGGAACAAACGTGAACTAACAGCAGGCACGCTATCTCGTAGCGTAACGCTTGAGGGATGTCGTCGGATCGCCGAAACGATACTTTAATGTCGCGATAAACCCCCACTGGGAGAGAGCTATGTTGAGAAACAAGACTAGGTCGGTCAGTCAATGACCTTTTTCTTACATATATACGAAATTAGCGCCCAAGACTTTTCGAGACTTTTCCTCCTTGTGAGTGACATTTAAAAAGCTTCAACATGAGAAAAACATCTCGCTAATCTTTCCATTATCAGATTTCTTCTTATCAATTTTTTCTTATAACACAAAATCAATTTTTAATTTTTATATTTACAAAAATGATTTTTCTTTTATTTAAATATTATTAAAATGAAAGAAATTAAATTCAGATGACAAATTTAATTTATAATTTACAAATTCGTTAGAAAAAAAATTTTTAATTTTGTTTGAATAGAATAAGAATACAATTTTCAAAAATTGGAATATTATGAATTCATGAATTATTTTTAAAATATCAGGCAATAATTATTTTATTTCTAGTAAATTAATGAAAAATTTCATATATTAAAAAATAATTTAAATAAAACGGAAAAATTGTTGGTTTCTGAATGCCAATAATTATTCCTCTAATTATCGAATTATTTTTTAATTACACAAATTTTGTTATCACTTTATTAAAATTAAATCAATACTAAAAATATCTTCTTTTAATATAATAAAAAATATTTCCTAAAAATTCGATATTAAATAATATTTTCATTTTGATAAATTTAAAATCAGAATTTAATAAAAGATTTGTTGAATTTACAAGAATATTTCCCCCCGTTGTTACCAAAAAAGAAATAAATGTAACAAAAGTGGAGAAAATTTATTAAAGTTTCAATTTACAGAATTTAGAGAAGAAATTCTCTATATTTTTTTTTCTTTTCGCCAAACAAAATGTTCATTTTATTGGCAGGGTAAAAAAATTTCTTAATAGAAATGTATTTACGCTACAACGAATGTAATCAAGAATCTTAAAGGACACTTTATCTCAGCATAAAAGTGACTTTTTTCTCAAAGGAATTCTTGAGACTTGGAATTTTGTCCTTTCCCAAGGAATTTAAGAAGGCCTTTGCCTTACGATAAAAATTGAAATTTTAAACCATCTTGTTCGCAACATTTTTTTTGCTATACATTCGTTTCTTTTTATATATATATGAAACTTGTATAAACAAAAAAAAATTACATTCATTTTTCTTTTTTTGGAAAAATCATTTTTGGATAAAATAATGAAACCCCAAAAAAATTGATCATATTTCTTTTTCTTTTTAATGAAACCCCCAAAAAGATCTGGTGACGCCTTCTCGTTTTATTTCTCATTCACGACTTTTCCCAAACGACAGTCACGTTTTTCGGTCTCTCGCAAATTGCCTCACAGGAAACGACCACACTGTCGAAAAACTTGGTAGATACTTGGTAAAGAGGAGAGAGAGAGAGCCTTTTACCCAGATGTGATTTAGATAACGTGGAGAAAAAGAATCGCCAACCATCTCTTCGAGTTCCTTGAAAGAGAGAAAGAGCAAAAGTGTACGCGCAAAAGTAAAAAAAAAAAAAAGAAAAAAAAAGAGAGAAGAGATTCGCGAATGAAGGAAGATACCGATCGGCACTTACGACTTTGAAACCACGCCTCAGGGCTACCTTGGGATACGGTGCGATAATTATTGGTTTCTTCGTTTCCTCAATAGCCAACATCTTTCTCGAACACGCTTCTCGCCACACGAGATCGAATGATACACCACGAAAGAATTCTCTGAAAAGCACTAGGAAATTGTTTTCAAATTAAAGCCGAACAAAGAAAAAGAATTTCACCTGCCTAAAGAAATAGAAAAAAAAATTTCCAAATAATTATTTTTTACAAAAATTTTCCATTTAATTTTTTTGATAATAAAATATTTCTTTGTTTCATTAGTTGGTGCAAAACAAAATAGTTTGGTTTTTACATATATTATTTATTGATTATTCGCGTGAAGGTTTTTAAAGTACGACATTTATTGAAATTGAACCTGACTTTTGCATTTTCCTGTTTGTCAAAAGAGAGAGAGTGACGTCTCGTTTATTATTATATAAATTTGAATACTTCACAAAACTTTGATTGGCACTACCCTTTCTCTCTCTCTCTCTCTCTCTCTCTCTCTCTGGGCGTTTCGATGCGAAAGAGCTTTCAAAAGTTTCTCTCTTCAAAATAATGTTCAAATAACAAGGATATTCTTAATTAATAATATATATCAAATTGATATTTACTTGTTGATTCGAATCTTTTAATGCAAAAACAAAAATATTCCCAATTAAACTAAATTTTTATGAAAAATTTTTTTTTTCAGAAGAGGAATTGGAATGTCTAGCAACTTGGAAAGAGGGAAGCAGTCGATATTTGGTGGGACGATTGAATCATGATCATGCAACAAGCAACGAGGATCGTTACAGATGTTTCGTTTATGAGAGAGCTGATCAAAGTGTTCAGGGAAATTTAAATCGTCCTAGTGGCATTGGCTTGGAAAATAATGAACAAGAAATTCTTCTTTCCAATGGATTGGCAATGGAAAATTCGTCAATTGAAATATTTAATGTCGCTCAAAGTGGTGACGCCACATGCAATGGTCTCTTTAGTCCAATGGAGGGATCACGAACCATGAAACTCACCAAAGGTAAAAAAAAAAAAAAAAATCTTTTATATTTTTTCTCTCTCAATTAAGAACTTAAATTAAATTTGACAATTTTGAGATTTTTTAGATTCGATGTAGAAAAGAGGAGAACAAATTTACAATTTTAGCTTAGAACTAAAGAATTCGTTAACTTTAAAATCAATATTCGAGAAAAATTATTATTAAACTGCTGCATTTTCATGCTACTTTTGTCGCAAAGAATACTGGCGTCTTTGAAAATGATTTTCCACTATAGTTTCCACTGGAAAACAGTTGGAAAGAGAGAGAAAAGAAAAAGAGAAAAGTCTCCAGCTAAGCTAGGAAACGAATTATATCTTAATTGCGACTTACGATCTTCACAGTTTTCTAACGACTCGTGTAAAAACGACCAACCAAAGAAGCGCTTTCGCTAAATTGGCTACTTTTAGTCAATTCGCGTTTTCCCCCTTTCCTTGATCTCCTGTTTCATTTCATGTTACATTTACGCTAAAAAATAAAAAAAATACAGTTAATTAATCTTCAAATTAGTCAAATTTATTGAACAAAAATTAAAACGAATGAAAAAAAAAGAAAATTAATAATTAATGTACACACTTAAATTTTTTTTCGTTTTTAATTTTTTTTTTACTAAACATTTATTTAGTATCGTGTTTACAATGAGTAAATTTACAATCTTTTATATAGTCAAGTATTGTGACTTTAATTAGAAGTGTTGTACTAATTTTATTTTCCTCGTCATTTTACAGGCCATTGGAGAACACATAATTTTAACACTCTGAGTTTCAGAAATACGATTACCTATTTCAAGAGGCGATTTTACATCTACACACTCGTTTCATCCCCCCCGATAGGTTTTGTACTATGTATATATAGGGGTTGACACGACAGCCAATAAAATCGACACGTAGATTCCCCTCGACAAATTCAGTAAAGAGAAAAAGAACAAGAGACTATTTTTCTGCTTTTTTTTCATGTCCTGTCTGTCGAGTTTTTTTTTTTTTTTTTTTTTTCTTTTATGAGAAAGAGAAGTTCGTCCACTTCGCTTGGAAATGAACAAGAAAGAGTAACGATAGAGCCAAAGTATCACTTTATGACACGTAAAAAGTATTGTTGCAATCGTGACAGAAAAGAATGGAAATAATTCAGCATCTCTTCGATAAGTGAACACAGGAAAACAAAAAAAAAAAAAAAAGAGTGAATTGAAGATACAAATTCCTTTAGTCGTAAAAAAATCGCATGGCTCTCTTGTAAGGGAGAGCTAATTCGTATTTTAACGCAAACGATAAAATTTGTTCTGTGCCTCTGTTTCCATCCCCATTTCTTCCTGTTCTCTCCGAGAAAAGCCTGGCTTAACTTTAGTGCTACGCCAATACCAATTATCGTTTCTCGCCAGCGAAAAAAAAAAAAAAAAAAAAACAAGGAAAATTATATATATCGAGAAAATTCGATTTGGGAGAATTCACCTTTCACGGTCATGGATTTCGATGGATTCATCTATTATCGGAAAAAATTGGAGCGAATATATTTGCCTCTGAAAGTCACTGTGCGGTCACTCAAAGATGCATGGAATCTTTTTGCGCTGCTATTGAAAAATTCCATGAATCCAAAAATACTAAAAATGTCGTACTTGCTGACAAGAAAAAAAAAGAAATGTGACTTCCAGTTATCGGATCAGATGGATTTCTAACTCATCTGGGAATCTTGTGAATAGATTGGACAAGTTCTGTGGGAAAAAAAAGTAATAAGCTTTAAAAAATGTAATGCTTTGAATTTGCCTTGAGAGTTTTTGGAAAGCACTTTTTTTTTATATCCAATTTATCGTAGGAAATATTTGCAGAGAAAAAAAAATTCGAAAGTGAAAAAAAAATAAGTCTCTTTATAACTAATTCGATATTAAAGTCACTTTTTGGAGAATTTATGAAACATTATATATGTGCCATTCCAGGAGTTTTTTAGCACTTTTCGGAGTAACCTTTCCAAATTAAATGAAACATTTTTTTATTAATATTTATTAATATAAAGGTCCAAAAAAATCACTTTTTAAGTAAAAACAATTGTTTATTTAAAAAATACAACAATAAATAATGCAAAAAATTCACTTTTTTCCTGCAACTCCAAATAAATTGGTTTAAAGATCAAAATTTTCCTTATCTTTCAAGCTTTAATACCGCACAAGAAACATTGAGTCCGGGAAAATATTCAACTCACAATTTTTTAAACAATGTTTGTTTACTTTTTTGTATTTTATTTACTGTGAAACGTCTGCTAAAGCTGCGCGCGACGTTTGGAAGTTGTCGCTTTCCTTATTGAGCAGAAGCTCATTACACTAGCGTAGTAAAAAAACATGTTGTGTGAAAAGTGAGGTTTTTCATCCTTCAAAAATGCTTTTTATGATTTTTTACTGCAAAGTAGATAATTAAAAACCATTCAATGTGATAACCAGAAATTTTTACGTTTCGTTTAATGACAACATAACCTCACTTTTCACACAACATGCTTTCTACTACGCTAGTGTAATGAGCTTCTGCTCAATAAGGAAAGCGACAACTTCCAAACGTCGCGCGCAGCTTTAGCAGACGTTTCACAGTAAATAAAATACAAAAAAGTAAACAAACATTGTTTAAAAAATTGTGAGTTGAATATTTTCCCGGACTCAATGTTTCTTGTGCGGTATTAAAGCTTGAAAGATAAGGAAAATTTTGATCTTTAAACCAATTTATTTGGAGTTGCAGGAAAAAAGTGAATTTTTTGCATTATTTATTGTTGTATTTTTTAAATAAACAATTGTTTTTACTTAAAAAGTGATTTTTTTGGACCTTTATATTAATAAATATTAATAAAAAAATGTTTCATTTAATTTGGAAAGGTTACTCCGAAAAGTGCTAAAAAACTCCTGGAATGGCACATATACAAAAGTTTTATTGTACTTTTCAACTTTCAAATATAAACTAAGAAAGTACAAAGTAGACATGGAATTGCACTATCTTCCAAGTTGTTCTGTCCACTGTAACTAAATCTTCTTTATATTAAAATAAATCCCCTCTGAAAAATAATTACATAAAAAATCTGAAATGGAATTTTTTTTAAATAACCAAAAAATATTTTTATTAATAATTTGCCAAAAAAAATTCTTTGTAATTTCAATATATTTAATCCAATATTTAGTTAACTTTTTTTCATTGAAAAAAAAAAACCATTCTCTCATATTGAAACTGGTAGACCGTGAATACATTTAACTTAATATTTTTAGTTCTACTCTTTTCCATTTTTCACCAATATCATTTTTAATAAAATAACAAAAAAAAATAGCTTGAGAAATATTCTGATATCGTTTTTATAATTAAAACTAGTTTTTTATCAATAAAAAGCAACAATTTTTCAATATATTCTCTGGTATTTTGTTTTCGCTAAAGATTTGAAAAATTTAATCTTTTTTGCAAATAATAAAAATATAAATGAAAAATTGTTAACAAATTAAATTATTTGAAAAAATAAAAAAAAAAAAAGTATCGGAAATGAGATTTTTTTTGTGATGAATATAAAAGATAATAATTTGTCCGAGATGAAATAACAAAAGTCATTTCTTGAAATTGTAGTCGAATGCAAATGTCTGCGCAAAGTTATCGAGATGGAAAGATATGTCGAAGCATAATTCAATCACCATCCCTAGCGAACACTGCGATAAGCAATTTGAGTATTTCGCCGCTAGGCATATAGACTATATAGAGAGTGAGAGAGAGAGAGAAATATGTCCTATTAGGAAGTAACGAGGTCACTGGAGAACCAATGAGTCGTTACAGTGATGGAACAATGAGAGACAAAGCTGACTCGCAAATGACGCCAGATGGGTTTTTTTGTAACTGAAAAAAAAGAAACTCTCATTTCCACACCATGTTCATCAACAAGAAATTTTACTGTGAAAACAAAGATTACATCGGAAATAAAAGTGGCAAATCATTTACACAATAGCAGCAGCTATTTCGTTTTGTTTTTTATCTCTTTTTTCCAATATTTAATCATTTTATTGTTTATTCTTCAAATACAAATTGAATTTAAATTGAAAATTCCAATTGAAAAAGAATTTATCGATAATTATAATTGTTTGGAATATTTTGCTAAATTTTTTATTAAAATTTTTTTTCTATTTTTCATGAAAAATATTGGTTTTTCAATTCTTGGTATTTTTGTTACAGTCTCGTCGCCAGGAAATTGTAAATTTCCTCAATGGCTAACGGGCCATGGGGGCGGTGGTCTAACATGGCATACTTTAGATCTTGGACGATCGTACACATTTCATCCACACAATGCAACACTTCATGTGACAAGATCAAATGCAAGTTCATCGAGAATCGATGGTGTTTCATTGGATTTTCAAGATATTCCCGGGCAAGAGGAATATTATGTAAAAATTCTTTGTAATTCCATTAAATATCCAAATCCAACTGAAACGATGAATATGATTGTGGCACATTATACACACGGATGGTGAGTTGAATTTTTCGTGTGAAAAAAGTAAACTTTCATATAAAAAAATATGTAAAATTTTAATTAATTATTATTTATTTTTTAAATTTGTCACTGAAAAAACGGATTTTTATAAAAATTGGAAATTATACAATAAATTTTATCGTAGAAGAAAATCTGAATATGTAAGAGAAATATTATTTGAATTTCGAAATTATTTTAAATAAAAAGCGATTTTTTGAATTTTTAGTTTAAAAAAATGTTCTATGTATAATTTTTTCATTTCAAGTGAAATTAAAATAAAATCCAAAATTAATTTTCTCAAGTTGCAAAAAAATGGTTTTTTTTTATTGCACAAATTCATGACAATATAACTTTTTTCCAGTCGAAGCGGATATGTGTGTATGGCATTCTACAGGAGGGATGGTCACGTGGTGGAACTACAAACGGGAAATCCAGTTACGAGGCCGGAAGATGCGTGCCTTCCTGCACACTATCAACCACGCAGTACTCCCTTTTTGACTTTAGTCAGTGAGTACAAATTCAAAAACATTTTGTGCATGAATTTTTCTTTTTTTTTTAAATTAAAATTTCCTCTTATTGGAAAAATTATTTTAAAATGATTTTCTAAAAATTAACGAACAAAAATTTTGATAAGGGAAAATTAATTATTTAATTTCAAAAATATCTATTTGATAAATTTTTTATTTTCCAAATATTATTGAGAAAATATTTTGATTTGGTTTTTTCTTTTTTTTCAATAGAAAGGAGAATTGATTTTTCCAAGAGGGGGAGGATTTGAATAAGTCTTTTTCGTTCCGCTCGATTGTGGTCCCGGAATTTCCGCGTGGTGAGATGAAAAAAAAGTCCGAGAAAAGCAAGTTTTCGTTATATATAGGAAATTTTAGGGTGTGTGAGAGAGAGAGTTTATAGTGACGCAGTAGAGGGGTCAGGTCAGGTCACGAAAGCATCAGGGGGGGGGGGGCGTAGATTGAGTTCAAACAATTTATCAAAATTCAAGCAGTAGCAGCAGCTTGCGAGCTTGTAGAGAATCATGTGGTACGAAATGGCACTGTTTTAGACATGCAAACAAGTCAATCAATCTTTATCCACTCCCATGATTAATTATGTCTCAACAAAAATCTTTTTAATATCACTTTGATTTTTATTTTCACCCCAATATTTTTTTTTTTTTTGCTTCTATTATTGTTATCTACCCTAATTTTTCTTATACTTTTTTATTTTCATTCAAAAAATTTCCAAAAATAAATTTTACTTTCGTACAAAACGTACAAAGACGACTAATTGCTTAGGGGATTTGAACTCGTTATTTCAGGTGCCACAGGTATTATTCCAGATCGAAATTTTCGTTTCACTCTTGGTCAAGATAGTGAAAAGTCAGAAAATAAAAATGGGGGTGCTCCACCGGAAACTGTAATTTGAAGTCGTCAACTGAATACGAATGCCTTTGCGATCATAAAAGTCGGAAAAGAGCTCCAAACTGCTTCCGTCGAATAAAGGAGCTAACGGAGAAAAATGAAAAGCAGTTTTTGGTTTTTTTTTCTTTTTTTTTGGTTTATCATCGGAATAAGGAGGCAAATATTTACGGTCTCTCTTCTCTCCTTGCGCGCTTCTTTTCCTAACTCAAAAGACTGCTTCGCTTTTATGGCGTAGTACGAACAGGCAATCAAACCTTTATGGATTATCGACCCTTTCACTTCGTTAAAAATTCTATTTTCTTTTTCCAGTCTATTTAAAAGTCGATTGCTCATGCATTCAGAAATACACTTCTCTCGACAAAATTCCTTTTTTTACCTCAAGGATATAATTTTCTTTTTGTGTCAAATTTTCAACTAATTCCATTTTCGAATTTTTTTTTTTTTAAAAGTAACTACCGAAAAAAGGGCAGAGAGAAAATTTTTCAGAAAGGTAAAATGATGAGATTCCACTTATTGAAAAAGAGCACAAGTTCCATCGAAAGAGAGAAAGAGAGAGAGATGTTGAGCGACGATGGTTGTAAAGAATGTACGCTGTCAAAAGTTTTCCAGAAAAGATGTAGACTCGCTCAAGTTCCAACAGTTTTCCTTATCGCGCAAAAGGAGAAGAGAGTGAGCTTCTGCAGGTAGATAGAGAGAGTCCAGGAGAAAGAGGGAAAAGTCGAGCGCCCAACTTCCGGAAAGAACTAAAACGAACCAACGAATAGAGAGAGAGAGAGAGAGAAAAAAAAAGAGAGGGAGAAAGAGACCAGTGGATCAAACCGAATCCAATAACTCTCACAGGATTACAACTCCAACTCACAAGGAAACCGATCGTTCTCTTAGGATTGAAGGGAGAAAAAACGATGTGGATTTAAGTTTTGCGATATCAAACTCCTCTTACTTTTTCAGCCACCCAAGAACAACCACGCATCTTTGCGATAAAGGTGACCCTCTCCCCTTTCTCATTGACTTTTACCAAATTGATCAAATCCCCCAGATATACTCTTAAATCCATTTGGCATAAAAAAAATCCCTAGAAATTATTCTTTTTCCCCTCTCTATTGATTAATATATTAAAAGAAATATTCCTGAATTTAGATGAATTTTTCCGGATTGAACCATATTTTTTTAAATGAATAAAAAAAAATTCAATTAGGTTTCAAATTAAATTATTCATTCCTCAATTTTTTTTGAAATGAATTAATTAAAAAAAAAAGTTTCAGTCTGATTATTAATTAATTATTAATTTAGTCAAAAAATAATAATTTATACCGAAAATATATTTTGAAATATTTTAATTTTTTTCGTCTATATTTTTTTTTGAAAAAAATTCCTGAATTTTTTTGAATAATTGAATTAATTTAAAAAACAGTTTTAGTCGGAATATTAATTAATTATTAATTTAGTCAGAATAATATAATAATAATAATAATCATGTTTATACCGAAAATATATTTTGAAATATTTGAATTTTTTTTTTTACACTTTTTTCGTCTATATTTTTGAAAATATATTCAAAAATTTTTCAACACTCATATTTTGGGTAACATAAAAAAATTTCATAAAATTTGAAAATATATTACTTTAAAATTTGTAAATTCAGTATTTTTTTGGAAAAAAAAACCTCGTAATATACTAATATATTGAAGCACTGAAAAATAAGATGAAAATTCCATAAACTTTTTAAAGTAGAATATTTCAAATGTGTGACACGTAAAATATTTTTGTGCAATAAAACATTCATCTTAAATCGTGTGTGATTTTGTGAATTTAAATTTTAAATGAGAATATGGAAACTTTGTATTTTTAATGATTTCAAAAAATTTTCGAAACTAAATATACAATATTTATAGTTTATTATTCAAAAGCTCGTGAGCTTTTTTTCTGCCAAAAGAATATAATTAATACTTCCTCTTTTATATTAATTTTTCAAATAAAAATCAATTATTATAATAAATTTAAAAAAAAAATGAATAATTAGTGAAAAAAAAAGTTTTAAAATAAAATTTAGAGAAGTAATAGATAATATATTTTAAATAAAGTTTTTTTTTGCGAACTATATAGTGATAGTGGTTTTATACCCCCCAGTGTACAATTCTTCAAGTAGTTCAGTACTTTTACGTCAGACAAGAAGAAAGTTTGTAATCCTCTCAGCTCAATATTGTCATTGAGACGCTTCCGCACAGAAAAGTGTATACTTTTTCCTTAACGTAGCAATCTCTTGGCAAAAAAAAAAAAAAAAAAAAAAAGTTTAAAACAATTATTATCAAGTCTTGTGTATTTAATAAAATAACTGTGGAATAAAAATCCACAAATATCTTTTTAATATTGTAGGTATATGTGTAAAAAAATTTTTATTAGTTTCTTTTTTTCAATTATATATACAAGAATGTAATTTTAAATATTTTTCATTTTACTTTTTATTATCACAGAAAAATATAAACTTTGTATACTTTTTATTGAAGAATTTTTCAACAATCGTATTTTAATAATGAAATCCAAAGCTTTTGAAATCTTAAAAGAAATTTATTACTTTTAAAAACTTTTTATTAGGATAAAAGAACACATTTAATTATTAAAAAAAAATTACTATTTTCAATTTTTGATATTTCAAAAAATCCAAAAAATTTGCTAAATCATTTTTTGATAATTTTGAATTTAGATGTCATTGAAAAAAAATTATTTTATTCAAATAGAGTTTATTTAATTGAAATTTGGTTCAATTAAATATTTATTTAATAATTGACGATTATTTGAATCAAATAAAGGCACTATTTTTTTTTTGTGATAAAAGCAGATGTTAATGTCCATTCTCATTCATCGGTTTTTTTTTCGAACCAAGAATCATTAGAAAGCGTTTTACGGTCATCGAGCATTCAATGCTGATCGAACACGTTTGAAAACTACTCGATTTCTCGATATTTGGCTTTGAAATATTTACCCGAGTCATCGATGTATACCACGCGAAAAATCTCGCCCGATGCAAAAAAAAAAAAAAATAAAAAAAAGAGGGAAAAGGAAATGGAAGAAGTATAGATGAAAAAAAAGAGGCAACATATTTATTCAGAACCAGTGTGTATGTACTCTCTTTTTTCGTTTCAAAGAGAGTGAGAAAGGAAAAAAAAATCGCTTTCTACTTTCTCGGCTTCGATTCTAGTATTTCGTTATTCTATGAAGAAGCTTAAAAATTCTCTTTGCCGTTTGCCGAAAGCCAAGTTTCACTCAATGAAAAAGAAGAGAAAAAAAATAAAATAAAATAGAGGTAAAGAAAAATACCTCGATACTTGGCACGCTTGGATGGTTAAACGATACAATGCGGTCAGCTTGCATATATATTTTTTTAAATCATAATTATGTAACACTATAAATACACTTCACTCATTCTCTTTCTCTCTCTCTCTTACTCTCTTGCGAGCTCAAGTGAAAATGTGTGCTTTTACGCGATCATTTTCCACTTCTTCTTTATTTTCTCTTTAATGGGAAAATCTAATTATGAAAAATCCTGTAAAAAACTTCAAAGAGACCGAGAATAAGGAAAAAAGTTTTCTTTCTTTTTTGCTTAAAAAAAAAAATTCAATTGAAAAACATCGAATTTTTTTTTTAAATTTCCAACAAAAAAAGAAAAATTTGAAACTAAATTTTGGGTAAAAGAATAAAAATAAAATCTACTAAATTTAAAAAAAAAATACCGACGAACTGTTTAAGTTTGAGTTAGGAAAATTTGTTACTACTAATTTGTATTAGTAATTTTTTGCTTAAATTTTACTAATTCGATTTTTTTGTCACTAACATAGGAAAAATTTAGTGTAATTCAAAAGCAAAAAATTACTAATTCTTTAGTTATTTTTTTTTCTAATTCAAATTTAGGGAGGGAAAAAAGAATTTAAAAATAGTAATAATTATAATAGAGGGGATTGTTTCGAAAGCTATATAGCTAATAAAAATATCTGATTATGAAGTCACAGAGAAATTATTTTAATGGATCGATTTGAATATAATGTTGGAAAATTTATCCAACAGAGTATCCTTTTATTGGAAATTATATATAATATG